ATTAATGCCTAACTTATTCAGAGGAGAAGCCTGTTTACAGTTCACACTGTTGTAACTTTAGTGCCTAACTTATTCAGAGGAGAAGTCTGTTTATAATTCACACCGTTGTAACATTAATGCCTAACTTATTCAGAGGAGAAGCCTGTTCATAGCCTGTTATAGATGTTGTATCAGGATCTGATACAACTTACCACCTAGTCTAGGTTGTAGAGCAAACCTGACAACCAGAGCTAAACAAATCATGATTTTACACTCTTGGAGAGTTACACAGAAAACATGTTAAGTGTATCTAAACAAGTTCAGTAGTTTCTAGAGGTGTAGACAAGAAATGAGTGGAGGCTTTTCGAAACTCTCCTACTATATATTACTTGAAAGTATAGAAGTTTTGCGATTCTCCTACATTTACAGTGTTTTGCTTTGAAAGCTTAGTTTTGTAAAGCACTTTACGGACAAAAGTGATCATTTGCTACTGCGAATAAAACACTAAATGTTAAAATCTGTAAACAATATGTAAAACGAACACCTTAAGTTTAAAGTTGTTGAACGAAAATCACATTTTCTACGACTTAACAAAGAGAACCTACTAAGACACTAGAATCGATGGTAGGAAGACCAATGTAAGGTTTATAAAATAAAGTACATTTATAAAGTCAATAACTTTCTTTTTCAGTTTTCTTCGAAATAGTATTTATTTATCAGAACACAGTCGAATTGTTAGTCAATTTCGCCGAGATCGCTATGATAAAACTATTACTAAGGTAGGTGCAAGTACATTATTAAAATCAATTTGACTCTAGGTTATCGATTAGTATACGGAGCCTTGAATAGGGCGCTTCTGTGTAGTAAGCCCAAATATCAACAGAAAATATACGAGTAATGAAGCTCTAAATCCACTGAGCAATGACAGGATTTTTCCCAAGTACTTTTCTACGAGCTAATTTATAATTTACATATTCCTCCCCATAACAAAATCCTCGGTTTCAGTGGGCACCCGAAGAATGACAACGTAGGTAAATGACATTGATGTATGAGACAATAAACTTTTAGTAGATCGCTCGCATTAGTTTAAGAGATGCCTGTGGCGTCTACACACGTGCTTCTCGAGGTGTTAAGTCTGAGTTTCCAGATCACTGATTACGTCTTTTGGTGTGGCTATCTGTGATGAAGAATATGTCCATCGCTGTATTTCTAGAAGAACAGATTAAACGGAAACTTCCATTCCGAGATAAAAAAAAAATTTGAACTTGTACCTTGATCGATGAGATCTCGCTAGTCAAAGAAGAAAGGTATTCTTTTTCACCATATTTACATTAAAAAAACTGTCTCGTCTATCACTCGCTATCACTCAACCAATTAGAATGTTTCTGTCTTCCTAATGGCCAAGAACAATGTATGATGTTTAATAATTTCTCGCGAACTATTTGATATGTCTGTCATCATGTATAGAAAATTCAGTATATCTAAATTAAGTATACTAGTAGAATAATAATCTTACTGTCATTATTATTTATTTATTTTCATATAATAGTATTTCCATTTGAACTAAAGTCAAAAGAAATGCTTGAAAATTAAATATGTATACCAATGTAAATCTTATGTTATACAGAATGACGATTTAACTGGCTTCATCCACTCTTTTAAAGATCTTCTATTCAGGTCATCATCAGATCACGTCTTCATATCTTCATTTTAACAACTTTTTATGAAATGTCATAATGATAGTAAATAATGTAATAAAATAATACTAGTATCTAAATTTTAGAGAAAAATATAAAAATAAATCATAACGTATGATAATCTCAAACTTAGATACTGTTACATTAACTAGATCAATTGTAAAATATACATATTTTTCATCGCATTTGACAAGAAAATATTTAGTATTTACTCCAAGTACATATGATACAGATTTCGTGTTTCAATTAAATTTGCACTGTAACAAGTGAAAATCCACGAAAAAATCATATATAAAACAGAAACTGAAAAGTCTAGAGGAAAGCATTGAAGAATATGAAAGAAAAGAAAAGTTCATATCGCAATGTTTCTAAACGCTTTTGCCTATTTACTCACCTCTACACAAAAGTCACAGTTATGAACCCTAATAATATAAGTGCAACGTTTTGTTCATCATTAGTGTACTGAGAAACAGGTGAGGACTAGTCAAGTGGTTAGGGTGTTTGAATGGGAATCAAAGAGTCCAAGGTTAGAGCCTACAACATGCGGCTGAGCAAGATCCACACTTTCAGCTATAACAGTGTAGGCGGTAGGTGATGCTGACTGGTTTGCTTTCTTCTGGTCAGAAGTTTTGAATAAGTATCGACTATTATGCTTTGAACTGGCTGTTAAACTTATGTGTCCCATAAGGTGCTGTTCGAGTTGAAAATACCAAAAACGAAATTTTGATGAATTAACCAATTTCTTGGCTTAGTAAATTTTCTTCTGCTTACTATTTTAGAGTCCTTATCTCCTTTTGGAAAATTTGACTTCACTTTTAGCTAAAATTTTGCACATTCTTTGATGAACCTGACTGAGTAATAAAAAAAAAAAGGTCATTAAAAAAAATTAAATTGTTTTCCATTTTCACTGGAAATGAAGAGAGATTGTTTGTGGAAGATACCTTATACATTCAATGAGTTTTTTTCTTTCTTCTAATTCTGTGTAAAGCTTACTTTTGTGATAGGAAACCTTGCCATCAAAACCACTGTCCAAATATTATGGTTTAAAGACAGTTCTGTTTTTCTTTCCTATTAAATACAAAAAAGGATATACGAAAAAATAACTACATCATGATCATATCTAGATATAGTTTGACCAAAACTTTGACTACATCATTCCTACATTTCCATAACAACTATGTGACTTTCTCTCTGCATTTTGAATGAAAAACTTACTCTGAAACACCACGTCATCATTCAGGTCTTAAAATCCCAACATTATTGAAAGTTATCATATTCCTGTGGATTAAGTTATTTTATAGAAACTGCATTAATTATCTGAAATAATTAGTAAAAACATATCAAACATATTTATTTAATAATATAGATTCATTGCTGAATCTTCCTATTCACTGCATTTTTATCATAAGTGTTGTTTTTAAATTTCTAATAACATTACATACTCCTACTTATACTGACATATAAAAATAGCTAACGTTATTTCTTAAGTTATTTTTTAGTTCTGATTCGTGTAGTTAACTTTCTTTGATCAGATGTTGTTAAAATAAGAGAGAATGGGAGGGAGATCATATAACATGGTTGAGTTGTTTTCAAATTTATTATTTTCTTGTATCTTAATATTGAAATAATTTGTAATCTTGAAAAGCAAAAGTGTAAAAACGAGACATTTTACTGTTCAGTAAAAATGTCTGATACTATAACACTGTGATGATCATGCAGAAAATATTCGGAATATAAAGCGTGTAGCAAATATCTGGATAGTCTGTTTAATATCTGTTAACTACACACGTCAATACTTAATGTCTTGTTAAAAATAGATATAATATATTTTATTATTTTAATTGACAAAAATGCAATATCTGAAATTGAAAAGTTTCACATACAAACATTCTATTGAGAGTTATGTAGTGAGCATTAAATATCCAATAAAAAAAATTTACTGGTATTTCTAGATGGGTAGTCTGGTGCTGGTTAAGTGATAATTGACATGTGTAAAGAAATGTATTTCTTTTTTCAGGAAGTCAGGAATTATTGACATTTACAGGTGTTTGCATTTGGAACATCATCCCATTAATTGTTTCAGCAGCAATAAAGATCACAACAACTCTGAGAACTTGTTCTTGACAGAAAATAAATGTACGTAAATAAACATTTATAAGTAACAAATAAAATCTTAAACAGAACATTTTAGAAAATCATATAAGCAATATTTGTATACGAGTTCATAAAGTAAGAAAAAATTACACTTATGTAGCCAGCAGAATAATTTAAAGCACATTTATTGGCCTGTTTTTTGTTGTTGTTGTTTTTCTCCTGAGGTACAGCCAGAGGGAAGCAAAGACAGTTATTGTTTGGACTACATCAATAGAGCAGTAGAAGGACTGAAGTTTTTTTTTAAAGTACATAAAATACAGGAACAAGAGACTTTCTTAGCTGTAATCTAGGGCAATTGATTTGTTTAAATTTATTTTAATTACAGAAGAAATTAAGATATATAAACTCAATGTCAAACACCACTCTGAGATCTAACGGAAAACTACAATATTGTATCATAGTTCCTAATAAATTTGCTACAAAGGACACTGCATCCTACGTTATTATAGTAATGACAGCAATGATATACAGATTGTGTTTACAATAGTTTATAACAGAAAGTACACAGGTTTCATTGTCATGACCTTGAAGCAAACAGTATAATACTACAAAAATAGATCTGGTTACAGTTGCATGTTTGTCGCTACTGCTACTTGGAATGCACGATGGTACATAATAGCAGTATCATTTTCATGAGTTCTATTACGATATTATTTTTCTTTAGCGTTTCCTGCAAACAAGGTTTTACCAACAATTAGGAATACTGACCACATTACAACTCATGTTACGACAAGAGCCAAGAGGAGAACTTTCAGATTCGAATGCAAATCTATGACCACTAGGTACTGACCAACCGATTTCAGTCTTGTTTCTTACAACATACTTAAAAATCACCAACGGTGTTACCTATTCCCAGACTTTTAAGTAGCACGTGGAGACTAAAGAAGTCTCGTGTCGACATTTTAACTCCCTTTACTAAAATAATGGGCTATACATCAGAGAATTACTGAAAATACACTGACACCAAGTACATTTAACATTAAGTAATACATGAAATTGACTATGCTTTGCGTACTCTAGCGTTGACCTTTCGTTCTTTAACACTAGAGAATTGCAGTCAGACTACAATTAAAATCAATATTTTACGTAACAAAATAATTTAGTCAGTTATTTGCTAATGACCAATGTCACAGTTAATGAACTTTCTATGTCTTAAGACAACTTAGAAAAAAATGTTGTTGTTATCGTACAACCGGCGAAAACGGTCGATGAAATAAAAATAAAGATATATCATCTGCATATAGTTATGGCACACGAACAGTATACATACATCACAAACACCATTTTCATTACATGAGTACCAACCGTCAAACCCAAAGAACGTTGTCACAACAACGGATATATTATAATTAAATGAGTGTTTGTTTTCTCAGAATCGGAATAAATATCACTTTAAAATTACGAATTTGTCAAACTGAAATACCCTGAGAGACACAGACAGGCCAGTTTGTCTCAAGATCGTAAACCACCACAATTAAACAAAAATGCACATATTACAATATTTTTGCGTGTACATCCAGTTTTGAGACCATGTTGTTGACCTGGAAGCCAAAATGTTGACCACAATTTTATATATGTATATATATATATATATTTATATATAATTATATAGATATTTACACCTACTAATAATAAAGACGATAAAGAATGGTACAACCTAACAGTGATTACACACCAGTTAAAAAGCTGTAAATTAGATTGAGTATCACACACAAAATGGAAAAAAAAATTACAGATGTTACATTAATAATACCCCGGCTTCCCATATAACTGTTACCTGTTAGGGATTTCTCCTTGAAACCACAGATTTCTGTACAAGTTCAATGAACAGCTAGCTGGGTACAAGCAGGCATATAAACTGTCTAAATACATTTCCTTTTGTGAGACACATTTTGTTATATGAAAGACTGTTAGTCTCACCAAAAAGCTTAACGACGCTTAAGAGATCATTGTAAATAAAAAACGCTTCTCATCATCATTTTTGCACATATACATAAATCACCGCGAGGCTTAAGCACACCACATCCACACACATACACCACAGTCTGGGCCTTGAACAACATTTAACATAATAAAATGCTGCCCAAATTTTAGTCAAGAACTACACAGCTTATGAATGATCTTCACACATAAGAAAATATCAGAGTTCGGTCAAACCATAATCAGGTTTAGGGTCCATTGAAATTGACTGACTTGGCGCTGGGGGAAGAAGTCTCGCTTCTGGTTGCGTGTGGTTTGATACAGGAGCTAATGGTTGCGTATGGTTGTTCAGGTGTTCTACGTTTTGGTTCCTTTTCTTCACATTCTTCGTATTAGGAAGCTTGTTGTCTTTCTTCCACTTCATCCGACGGTTTTGGAACCAGATTTTTATCTGTCTCTCTGACAAACATAACGAATGAGCTATTTCTATCCGTCGACGCCTTGTAAGATACCGGTTAAAATGAAATTCTTTTTCCAATTCCAAAATCTGGTGTCTCGTGTAAGCCGTCCGCTGTCTTTTGGTTTCAACCCCGGGAGAGAAATTTCCATTGGTTCCCACTACAATAAAGACAACAATAAATTTAATGGCATGAGTGAACAACGCTTTACCCCTTCCTTACGGCATGGTAGAAAGATATCGTGTATTGTCAAACGATGTACGAGATGGTCTTATGTATTGTGTCTTGTACAGGTCCCCAAGGAACAATAAATACTAATCCTACTCTGTTCACAGACCTAAGTCACGAAGACAGAGAGAGAAAATGTAACACCCGCTAAGAAAACCCATCTCTGCAGGAAGCAAACTTTTGAGGATTCTTCCTTATCAAATGCCCGGGAGCAGTCATTTTTAGTAGGCTCAACACAGAGAAGGGTGGGCTTTGCGGGTGTCTTTGAGTGCACTTAATTTTTGATTTATAATGACTGCTACACTATAATATATGCACGAGTGCAGAATCCTAATTGTTATATTAAGGTAGTGAAAAATAAATTCTTTAAACAAAAAGTATTCGTTGGGAGGGGGGATAAAAGCACCCTGAATTAATTTAGAATTAGAGCAGTTTTAGAAGGTCTTGGGTTCCTACCTGCATTGATGTGGACTTTTTTCATCCAAGGATAGATGACCGGATGTCCCGTCGTTGACACAGCACAGTCCGGAGTCGTTTCTATTAAACTTTGCTGCTGAGGAGAAATATGTTGTTGGTGTGGTACGCGAGCTTGTAGATCGGAAGTTGGCTGTGGGGTGTTGCAAGACACTGCAGGCGGCACTGGCGCCGGCACCGGCGAAGAGACCGGAGATCTCTGATGGTGCTGCGGTGGGCTCTGTAAAATATGGTTCGGACTATTGGTTAGTGGTACATGGTCAACTGAAGGGCTCAAAATTGTTGGTCTGTGGAGTGAGTTTTGTGGTAGAGAACACGGCGGCTGGTAGTAACGGGGAGGGCTTCCATGATTTGTGTACGCTGCGTTGGCACCGCTGTGCTCGTGGCCATAACTCACTGGCGCGTGCTGACTGTTGACGCCGCTATAGCGATAGGGATGACTTGGCGGATTGTAATAGTCCCCTCGCTGACTTGGAATGTAGTTTGCTTGATAGTATTCTTCACTTGGTGGAAATTTCGGATCCACATATGGAGGAGAGTTCATCAAAAACGAACTCATGATCATTAATTGTTGGGTGAATTGGATGGAAATTATTTTTCTTTGGGGTTGTCGTTTAACTGTGACTTGACTCCGCCTACGTCCATAAATTAGCATATCACGTGATCAATAGCAGCCAGTACCGTTTTCTACCGTTGACCCTTGTTCTGACGTCACAGCGCTGGCTGACAGAGATATATTACCACAACATGGCGAGTGCGCTCTACCTGTGAGAAAGTACTGCTTTGATTTTATAATTTCCAGACGATAAAAACCAGCAGTAGCTGTCGTAACGACTGTTGAAATAAAAGTCTCTCTTGAACAAAGGCTTACGAGATCTTACTTATTATCTCTATGCCTTTTATAGTAATGCGACCCACGTGATTCGGATGTAAACATGTTAAAAGATGCAGCTAGAAAGAACATTAAGACGGATTGTCAATTAGTCTTTTCAAATCGTCGTTGAATGATATTTAAACTGTTCCTTTGAACGTCGTTGATCCATAAGCTTCTAAAGTCAGCTCAACTTGGATTTGATTTAACGTTAGTCTGGTCAACGATTTGAAGCTTGTCTTGCACATTTCTGGTTCATCAGGTAGAATAATGAGTGTGGAGAGAGAGTTGTACGTCCCACCATAAACTCAAAATGCACGTAATTGCGAGGCATTTAAGCGAAATGTACTTCTTCGGACGGCATGCTCCACGCGTTTTATGCGAGTTGAAGAGAGAAGACGAGCTAGCCATACATGTCGAATCGACCAATGAGATCACGCCATACTTGTATTTGCGCAAGAAAGGTCGATTTTCTAAGATAGTTATATAGGAAGACATCAAAGTTGCATTTTACTGGATCATCTGTCTGCAATTTGTCAATATAAAACAGTATATCTTTACAGCAATTACCGAGCTTTGGTTGACGATCCGATTCAAATCTGCGTTTTCCCTCACTCAATAAACGTTGCCAGCTCGCTTTTCTGAACAAAGTAAGCGTTTTTCGTTTTTAATCCACAAATAGCTATTTCAATAAGAAGGTAATTTGAAGAAGTGTTTTGATGATATATACTGTGAAGTTATAAGCCGTTGCTTTAAAGTTACTTTCAGCAAACTGCGTTTAAAAGCAATTATAACACGCCTTGTACTAGCTTTATTTTACTTAGTTATGTGGGTTCGTCATCTCAAACTTTTCTGTACATATATATATATGTATGTATAGGAATAATTTCTAAAATGTATTTTCATTTAGAGAACAACTTTTCAGGATAGATTCCTACCCCAATGATAAATATATGTTAACCTATCAATGTTTTTACACAGATGTAAATAAGCTCTTGAGAACTATTATTATTATTACCAACCTGTCCAACTATTTGAAAAATATACGAAAATTTAACCATCTCGTTGTGAATTTTAAATTTATAATACGTATTTCATACATTAGAGTGCTTGTTAGATTAATTTGTTTTGTTTTTTGCGTGTCTTCATTATATATTTATATATATATATATATTGATAATCCGTTAATAAGCTTTGAATAAATAGTTTTAGACAATTTTTTCAAATATTTCAATTTACACAAAAACACTCGTTTGTTGTGAAAAATCTATAACATAGCAGGATAACAATGATCCGAAAATTACGGACTTAATTAACTTTGATCGTTAATAGTTTCTAAAATTAATTCAACTTTTTTTTTTAGTTGCACTGAAATTGATTTTGTTTGTTTGTTAAGAGCAAGCTGGTCTTTCTGTGCTGCGCCCACAGCGGGTAACAAAACCCGACATTTAGAGTTATAGGCCTTCAGACTTATTAGCGATCCACGGAGGGGGGAGGAACAAATTGATTTATCAAAGTTGAAAGGTTTTCAATTGAATATTACAAGAAGAAGTATGATAAAGATAGTTGTGTAATGTTGATAATCTACATTAATACATGAAAAGTGTGAAAACAAAACTAGGGTATCAGTAAATTTCCGACGATCCATAATCCTGTAATGTAAAATATTTATTGTACAACTTTAACCACATCGTGCAATGAAAGATTATTACAGTTTTCAGTGTTTTAAGGAACATACGTTTGAACTGTTACAATCAGTCCAATGTATGGGGGGGATCCCCATAAAACGGGGAAAACAGAGGTTAGAGCCTCCCAGACACTCCGCGATTATAGAGAACGTTGTTTTCTAATATCTTGAGTTTTTCTTTTTATTGTGGTTTGAATTTTTTCCTGTGGAAAAAATCCTACAAACCTTTTAATCGTTCTTATTGTGCAGTGGGGAATTACTGCGGATAATGTCGTGAAACTACTTTAAATAACGTATTGAGATAAGGTAGTTAGGAGTTCTCCTAGATTAAGTGGCTGAAAATCATCTGTATAAATTTGTGAGTAACTCTTGAAGGTAATATAATTTGCAATTGTTGTAGGCAATGCTATAAGAAATTGTTCCAGAGACTGCAGTAAGATAATATAATGAAGGGTTGTGAAGGGTCATTTTAGGCAAGGTAACAAGGATTTTTTATAGAGATTATCTCGTTAAAAACAATATTATAAGGAATTGCTTGATAAGTTGTAAAAGTTGTTATAAATGAGATAGTTGAGAAGTTCTAGAGTGGCATTAGTATGCATCCAGGAGGGGGGGGGTCAGCCATAATGCCCCTCCCCAAACGCCTGACATACTTAACTGCCAACTAGGGGGATAACTTTAGGGAACTCTATTACTTTTTATGGGGGGGGGGCATCTTTTGTCACTTGTTGGGTTGTCTAGATAATATAATGTGGAATTTGATAGTGCAAGAGAAAATTATGGAAAATATAACTTAAAAAAAAAAGTAATAGCAAATTGTTGTAGATATGATAACAAGGAAATCTTCGAAATAAAACAGTTGAAAATTAATCTAAAAATGTACTGAGGAATGAATATAGATAAGGTTCAGGAGAATTATACTTGATAATGTTACAAAATAATTTTTGCAGTGCAGCAGAACATTATCTAAATACATAAAGTAGAGTATTAGAGCAGAGAATGGCAATGGAAATTATTGTTTGGAATAACGTAAGCAATATTAGTTCTATAATAGTACAAAATTGTTGAACATAATAAGGATTTATTCTGGATATTGCTGGGGTAAATTGTAAATAAGGGAATGAAATAATGTTCAGAAAGGAAGCAAAATTGTTCAAATGATGTATAATCGAGATTGCTCTAGACCAGATAATCAGGAATTTTTCTGAACGTGGTATGTAAAAACATTCAAAATAATCCAGAAGAGAAACACTCTAGAAAATACAGCCAAGAAAATCTTTGCACATCATCAAGAGAACAATGGTTTTGGTTAATGTAGTAAGGAGAACGTTTCTTATTGTGGTATATACAAAAGCTTTGAGAATTTATAGTAGGTAAGTGGTTGTGATATGGATGTATTTTCAATGTTTATTTGAGGAGCAGTTGACTGTAAAAAGATCACAAAATTTTCATCACATCTTGTTTTGACTTAATAGATTAGAAAGTTGCATAAGATGGTTGTTTTTTTTTTAAGACTTCAAAAGATCCTTCTTATGATAGAATTTCAGAAACATTTCTTAACAACAACAAGAACAAAAAACAAAAACAATGCTCAAATTTCATGGAAGAACAAATATTATAATTTTTATTGGAAAATTGCCAAGACAAAATCTGGCTTATATAGATTTTCATAAAGTAAACAAACCTCCTGAGAAATATGTCTTTGTCTGGAGACTACAGTGCCTGAGAAAATATTATGAAGGAACTTGTCAAGACCAAGGAGAGACATGTCAAACCAGGTGTCACCCAAGGGTGATGACCTCACCATAGGAAGTCTTGGTTGTATTCCCATAAGTGAGTGTCTGAGGCCCATACAAGGGTCCAGACAAACAGGGTATGTTTTTGGTAACGCCCAGAGATCCATATCAACTCTATCATGTTTAGGTATGTCTAAATAAACAAGCTACCAGTAGATAGGGTAAGAAAAGCTTCAATTTGACCTTAAGGTTATTGTCATCAGTACTTTCAGATTAAAAAGTTACTGGACTGAATATAATTGCAAATCAATAAAATATATTTTTGAAAAGAATGCAAAAGAAACACTTGCTTTCGTTAGCAACCATAAAATATTTAAATGAATCACAATATTTAACAAAACTATTTGATGATAATTCTGCTCCGATTAGTTCGAGGAGAGAAGAGTTAGAATGAAGTAGACAGTTCTTTTAAGGAGTGATTTAAGAAAGACTTTTTAGGGCAGTGTACAATTTGAATTCTGGTCCTGTTACCTTAAGCTTAATCTTGAAATTCTATAAATATTTAATAAGATTATAGCATCAATAAAAGTAGAATAAAAATGTTGAATGTTAAATTGCAAACATGTCAAGATCTATCTGTCAGAACAAACATTTTTACTCAGTATAATAAGCAGTTGTTTTTAGTAATTGATTTATTTCCATATTTTAGTTAATGTAGAAAACAACCAGTAATACAGAATTAAGTAATTAAAGTATAGCTGTCTTATAAAATGCACTTCAAAATTAAGCTGTTTACAAGTTTAAGTGTCTCATCTAAATGATAAAGCTAAATAAATGTTGTTTTGTATCATTTCCTGGTGCTGGGTTTGAATTCATTTCCAGTTCATAAATTTTAAAATAACCTATCTATAAAATATCATATGCAAACAATTATGTTTTTAAAAAACATGAATAAAACAACTTTATTAAATGTTGTCCATCTAGCTAAAACTTCAATAGATTTTGTTTACAAGGATGTTTTTAATCATTCTACTAGTGGAACCACTTCATTAGAGCTGTCGAAGAAAATTTTAAATCACACTTTTGGATAAAAAAACAACAATTAAAGGTACTTCTGTATGCTTTAATAAAAGAAGGATTTAAACATTTTTCTTTCAGAAAAAATCAAAGACTTTAAACACACCTGGAAATTTAATAACATATTTTAATGTAAACATTATGTACAGTTCTCTTGTTTGTTTTACGTTACATAAATCATGTTATGGAATAATACATTTTTATTACATTTAATACATCATAAGTAATGCCTGTTGAAAAATATAAATACAAACTTACAAAAATTAATTGTAGATGTTATCTTTGATTTTAATTAATCTTTGTTTCTAAGGTGTGTGTAAAGATAAAATGGTTTTTAAGTACAGCTACATTTTACATCAATCCAAGTCTTTTAGCCTTTAAATATATTTTACATGTGATTACTTGTTATATCATGTTGAATGCTTTGTTTAAATGTTTAAAATCTTGATAAGGATGTTCAAGACAGATTTGAGAGTATATTAAATCAGTCCTTTTTCTTTCAGAAGATAATGAACTACTTGATATCTTTCAATTCGTTGACCTGAGATAATCATTATCAAATATATAGTTGAATGAACACTAACAATAATAATTAATGATGTGCATAGGAAGAACAAAATCAAATACATAACAATGCCCTTAAATAGTTAAGCTGTTTAGAACTTCTATTTATTTCTACTTAAGATCTGCAGATGATGAGCTATCAGTAAAGTGATAAGCATATGTTTGTTTTCTAGGTAGTTCTGTATAAAACTAGATTCATACAAGATTCTGAAGTGATATTCACTAGATTATATTTTATTTTTGTTTAATGTTTCTAGGACAATTTTGGTATAAACTTCATTGCCAGAGGCTTAATGTACATATTTATTTGTGACAAAACCACTTTGAACCTTTTAGAAAATTCATTATAAGTAAACTCCATTGAATCAACAGGATATATTCCATATATACATTCCACAGAACAAGTATTGAAGAACATTTTCAGATTATATTTCTTCATGTCTGATTTCTTAATTATTCTTTATTTTCAGTATTCTAAGAATTTACTTTAATAAGTCAATGAGAAGAGCTATAGATATCTTGCATCTAACACAGTGCGAATCCATGTCCCAAATTTCAATAGAATGAAACATATCTTCTCAACAATGAAATATTGGATCGATTAACACTCGCAACTTCAATTACAGAATGATTTCCTAATTAAAAAAAAATTTTTTTTATATGTTTCATTATCATAATTATAATTGTGACAACTGTTAGGACTATGAAACAATTTTAAATTGGCTGATCATCAGATCTGCAAGAATCAGTTTTATTTATTTTTTCTAAATTTTTATTTTTTAATTGATTAAAAATCTTTCATTCTGCAATATAAGGTCTCGTATCACCCTAAATAACTGAAAAGTAGTATTCAGTTTGTTCCATAACAAGGTGCAATGTTTTACCTGTTAATCATATTTTCTAGGAAATTCTCCTCTTTTTTTTTAATGAAATAGTGCAACACAGATATGAAAAAATAAATTTGTATTGGTCTAAGATGAAAATTATGATGAAGGTA